ATTAAACAATAAATCCTAATACCCTACATTGTACTTAATAAACACTAACACTATTACCATTACAAACCCTGTGAACCCCTATAACGTCGCTGTTTAAGCCCTTGTACACATGACTTACCCTACTTGCATTCGTTGACCCAAAGTAACCAAAAGCCTTAATCGCCCACCAGCCAAATCTAACACCCTCTTTTGAAAAGGTTACTTATTGTACATTATGCGAGATATTGAATTGTGGAGTGACAGAGTCGCAATCTTCCGAACCCAACAGCATGCATGAAGATCTAATTTCAGGGGCTTAAATTTAGTTAGGCACTACTTCAAATAAATCACTACTTCAGATGTGACATTTTTATTTAATGTCTGTAAAAAAAAATTTAAAGAAAACAAAAACTTTAGGATTTAATCATTTTATTACTAATTCTTTTTAATAATAAATTTTGGAATTTAGACCATTATTTTTTTACAAATTTCTTTGATGCAAGTAATTTAAACTTAACATTAATATATATTTCAATTCAAAAAATTTTTAGGAAGATTTTTTGTGTATTTTATTTTTAATCAAATGAAGCTTATTGGGAGTCAACATTTACAAGCTTTTTAATAATTTATTATTCATTCATTATTGAACTTTGCACTTAGTAAAAATCTTGCATGTTTTTTTTTACTATGAATGAATAATTAATTTAATAAATAAAAAATTATAGACCAAAACTTTTTAGTTATGTTTCAACAAATAAATTGGCATAAATGTTTGAATTTCAAGTTAATATGTACTGCAAATACATAATGACAAATGCATACTACTTTAAATAATCTGCTAGTTTGCTAATTAGTAAATCTGTATGCATACAAAAAAAAACTGTCAATACTTATTTTGTCTTCTTATTTTTGTATTTGGTGCTATTTCATCTATTTGGCATATTCTTGACTTATCAGTATCTTGTAAAATAGATTTGATTCTTACAATTCTTATCCTTTCTGCTTAAACAGCTTGTTGAAGAGCTATTCAAAGGTTATAGATATCTTTTTTTTTTTTATCCTTCTATTCTGTAACAATTATAGAAAGTTCTTCTTGCAATTTTGTAAGTTGAACATTATTATTGTCATCTTGGTTTATATAGTTATAAAAAACAGAAGAATTAAAAAAATTAAAAAAATCTTATTCTACATATATTTGATTATCCTTCTTAATTTCATTATGTATATTAATTTATGCTAGTACAGTAAATAACAGGAGAAACCATCAATAATACACAACTGATACTTCACCCAGTATGCAATATATAAAAAAATTATTTTATAATACCAGATCATTCTGCTAGTATATGTTATGATTATAATCTTACACTATTTTTATTATAATAAAATGATGTGAGATTATAATTATAACATGTACTAGTGGAATGATCTGGTATTGTAAAATGATTTTTTTATATGATACATACTAGGTGAAGAATTAGTTGTTTAACATTAATAGTTTCTTCTATTACAGCAAATACATGTTTGCATGATAATTATCATGATTAAAAATCATAACAATTACAAATATAAGAGGCAATATTAAAATCATTTTTACTATTATTTTTCTTACAAACTGAGTATTCAATATCATTATTTGTCAGGGAATAAACTATTCAAATACTAGATTGAATGCTGTAAATATTACTATTATTAATATTTACAGTTTCTGCAATTTTTTAAATTCATTGTTGTTTTTGTTACAGGCTCATCTACTAATTTTTAGTTTATTTGAAAACATTGAAAAATTTATATTTTATAATACTACTTCTATAAGAAGATGTACTTCTTTATCAAGACATTGATCTGTTTAATAATATAATAAATTAGAGCAAAAAAAAATTAAATAAAAAATAATTAAAAATAAATAAATTAAATAAAAAAATAAATAGATAAGAGATTTATTTTATAGTGCAATAGCACTATAGTGCTATGGTTTTATAATACTATTATTAATTATATTTATTATATATATATAATATATTATAAATATTTTATATTATATAGTATATACTGTATAATATATTACTATACTATATAATATAATATTTTTATAAAATAATGCACAGTGGTATTATTTTGAATTTTGGCCAGAATTAAGCTTAATTCTAGCCAAAATTTGAAATTACACTCTGCAAGAAAATATAGTATATATATAGAAACTTGTTAATGCAAGTTCAAAATATGTGACAGGTTAATGCCAGACTACCAATCAGATTTCAATATCAGGTATAACGTTATATAATCAAACCAAGTATTTATTTTGTACAGATAGAACCATTCTGAATATGAAAATGATTTTGATATGATTACACATGATTGTCAACCAATCATATTGTAAATTTTAGTAAATTAGCCAATCATCTTGAAGAAAAAAAGTTAGGGATTTAAAAGAATTCAAAAGATATATTATGAAGTGAAATGAAGGCATCAATTCATCTGTTATATTTTTTAAAGTTTAATAAAAAGTTAAGCTACCTGAGCTTTTTGAAACAAGTATTGTAAAATGTATAAAAAAAAGCATTTGGCAATTGAGTAACAATTAAATATCATTTCCAAATTTGGAACAGTCTTACCTTAATTCTTTTTGCTAAAAATCAGATACTACTTCAAAAATCTCCATAAGTAATAGTCTTACATATATTAATAAAAGGATTTATACCAATATATAACTGATAAAAACACCAACTAAGAAAGACTAAAAATCTAAATTATTGCTATTAAATAAACTTGTTTATACCATTAGCATAATAGAATGAACCTTGGCAGAAATCTACAGCTTTGAATATGAAGTTTTATATTCATATAACCATGTGACTAATCTACTAATATGTATAAAACTTCAGATATTACACAATTTAATATAAACTAGTTATATAAAGCAAGTTTTGATTGCATATTTGAAATGTGCAAAATTCTTTAATTCTTATCAATTTTCTTAATACATATTACTAATATTTTAATTATTGCAATAGTAATAAGTATATATAGAAATTATTTCTTGTATACAACCAGTACACAAATAAACTATTTTTTTCTTTAAGAACAGATCACCTAATTATGTCCAGCACCTCCACAAATCTTACAATGTAATTTGCACTTTGTTTTTTTTGATAGCTCATCTGCATATCTTATTCTATCAGTTCTTTTTGGTTATCCTTTTCCTTTATGCTTATGAGAATTTATCGACTTACTTGAATCCAACCCCTATTATTAATTTTGACTTCATCTTTACAACTTGAATCACTTGAATCTATATTACTATCAGATGATAACTCTTAACAATTATTTATATATTTATCAAAAATAACAATAAATTTGTAATCATTTCTCTGAACTGCTACTATTAATGCTGCTCTTGCTTTACCCCAAGCCTCTCCATATAGCTTTCGTTCATTAATTACTTTGTTGTTTGTATCATGCATATCTTTAACTAACACATTAAGATAAGGAACTGAACCATTCCAACCTATCATTATTGATTTTTCTATTTCAAATTTTTGCACAACCAAGTATAGTTCTTCTGTAGAACTACTGGTTACATTATAATTATATTATTGTGATCATAGTAGCTGAATATGGAACATTGCAGTCTGTGTACATAACATGATTTAAAAAAAATGCTGACAAATGATTCCATGATTGCAAAAATCAAAACAAGAACATAAATGAGTTCTGTCATCCAAAAGCAATACAAAATGCCTTATTTCATTTGATGTTTTTTGTCAAATTTCCCACATCTCTACAATCTTATCTTTGTCAACAAGATTAAGCATTGACTTGGCCATAATATTATTAAAATTTTGATTTTTACCAAATAAGTTAGGATTGTCAAAATCAATCTAAAAAATTTATATGTATGTATATATATGTCTGTTAATACTTGAAATGTTTTTTAAAAAATAATAACCATATAGATCTTTATTTACTGTAACAAATCTTTACAACACATTTTTTTCTATTTTTACACTCTAGTAATGAAGCATCTGTTTTATTTGATCCTCTTGAATCTTTAACATTTTAGCAATAAGATATTTGCACAACATATTACAAACATTTGGTAGAATAGTATTGGCCATTATAGTCAGAACAGTCTTAGGAATTGAGATATGAAATAAAGCATATTCTGTCTTTTTATCATCTTCGAGAATATATACTAATAATTTCTCAGCTTGTTCTAACAATATTGTATTAGAATTGAATATTAATCTTTTGATCTTTGTATTATAGCTTTCAACTCAAGAACTCGAAGACTTTTAGCTATGAACAATTTAAGTACAAATGCTTTTACTCATAATTCTTTGTTTGTATAAAGTATACAATGTAAGTAACTAACTACATTTTCATTATTATACTTTTTAAATAGGCATTTCCACCAGTATTTGAAGATTGTTATAAAACTACTTTATTGTACTTAAGAAAAACTTGATGAATTCATCATAACGATCTCTGAGAATATTTTTTAAATTGAGGTGAAGATTCTGTGCAATATAAAACATACAATAAAGAGCATATGTTGTTGAAAACTCATTCCATATTGCAGCAATCAAAGCAAGATTGGCATTAGTGAAGATAACATAAAGAATAGCTTGAAATGTCACTTTTTTAATTTGTTGCAATATTCAGGTGTATGCCTTCTTTGTTTCATCATCAGTTAAAGCCTGAGTCACCAAACAAGAAGATAAATAGTTGTCGACTATCAAAAAAAGTGAAAATACCATTTTATAACAATTTGTAGCAGCAGTATTATTGTTTAAAACAACATCTCCAAACTTCAACCACTGTTCAATTTGATCAGAAGACATATAAAATAATCAGCAAAGACATTTACTGTGAGGGTTCCAGTCTACTTCAATAACCATCATGGGTCAGTTTCTTTTTTTTTTAATAATTCTTTATACAAATGGCTAGCATCATTTGTTTAATTATTTGTTTTAAGGTGAAATAGTTAAATTATCTGATGCAGCACAGGCATGTAAACTTTTAAGAAATATTTTTTTTTCAGAGCTTTGTGTATTTGTTGAGGCTACAATTCATTTTTGTTATATAAAATTTAACATTTTTAATTATATCCATGGTAACCTCTAAATTTTCCTGAAAATCAAAATGCCTATAGTCAAGATCATGATTCTTATGTTTATCAACTAATTTTGTAATATATAATCTTATGAGATTATCTTTTTTAGAGCATGAGAAATTTATCTGCCATATGTACTCAATGCATTTAGAAGTAGTTTCCTTCTTTGAATCCTTGCTCTTTGTGGCCTCAGGTTTTCTATAATGTTTGCAAACCAATGTATGTTTCCAGATACAGTCATTATTTCTTTCAATATGATAGCAATGCATCTTAAATTCCTGTTTCTTCCTATACTTTTTGATTTCATTCATCACATGGTCCTAGTTACAGAATATCTTGTTTATTTATAATTCTTCACCTTGAGAATCTTTATTTATTACCTGAAATCTGTTATCCGTTATTACATTCTTGTGCTAAGTATCTTTACAATTTATCATATCATCATTTTTATACAAGATATTACTAACATCAAATTTGTTTGGGTAATTATATAGAGTGTTATTAATAACAAAATTACCCAAGACATTATTGTATGATGCAGATGTACTAGTTCTAGCAAATCCATATAGTAAATCATTACTAACAACAAATTCATTAAATTCATCTATTATTTAATATAAATAGGGCAAAGGTCAAACATAAGTAAGGTAATAAGCTAAATAGGGCAGCACAACAGCCTAAGTGCGAGCAAAATAGTAAGACAAATTAAGTGTAGGATGATCGAATAAAAAGGTAATAGGGTATCATAATAAAAAACCAAGTGTAAAGTAAAGTAGTAAGATAAATAGGTAATATGTTGAAAGATCAATTGCAAGCAAATAACAAACTAAATTGGCATAAACTGATTAAACAAAGTTAAGTATAAATAGGATAGTATAATAAAAATCAGGTGTAAGCAGAAAAATCAACTATAAAGTGATTAAATAAAAAGTATAAGCTTTTTTTTATAAAAGTTTATTTAATTAATTACATAAGGGTAGCATCATAGTACTATGTTTTCAATGTTAAGACTATTTTAATTAGCAGATTATGTAAGGGTAGTGCTGCAGTACTATAGTACTATAATAATATTTTCTAAATAATAATATAAAAAAGATAAATATAATATTTAATTTATTAAATAATTTAAAAATTAATTTTAATAATAATTATTAAGATAAAGTTAGACTAAAAAAAGAGCTATAAGATAAGTTAGCAAAAAAAGTAATTTAAAACTATATAGAATACAAAAATTATATTTATTTATATATTGTTAGTTTAAATTAAAAAAAGTTCAATAAAGAAAAAAATAGCAATATAATAAAAAAATAAAAATGTTGTAAATAATAAAAATAAGGTTAAACCAAATAAAATAAAGTAAAATAAGATATATATAAAAAGTTATACAATTAAAACTATTAAATATAAGAATTTTTTATACAAATCAAATCAATATTAATATATATATTAAAAGAGGTTACGTTTAAAATAAATTTAAGAAAATTAAAAACTAAATAGTAAATTGTTTTAATAAAAAAACAAATAACTCAATATAATAAAGAACTAGTTTGATTATATTAATAACAAAAAAAAGAAAAAAAATGTATATTCATAAAATGTATAAGAAATAAATAGTTCATTTAAAAAAATTTTATATAAAAGACTTAAAAAATAGAAAAATAAAAATTATAAATAAAGTTATAGATTTTGGTTATTATTAATATAGAGCTATATAATTAAAATTTTGCATTTAGTCCTATAGTCTAGTTTAGTTAATCTGGCTTACAAATTTTTGTAAATTAACTTGAATCTAAAGCAAAATTTTACAATTATAAACCTAAGCAGACTTAAAATGCTTTAAAATTTAATATTAAATTTTGTATACTAAACTGAGTTTTATTTGTCTAAAAAAATTTATATATATATGAACTAAATCAGGCTAGCAAAAATATTTTAAAACTAAGTATAAACTAAGTTAAGCTACAAAAATATGCAATTTGTAAGTTAGAATTGCAATACAAAAAGTTTAAATAAGTAATTTCTATAATTATATTATAAGTATAACAACTAGTATAAAACTATAAACAGACTATTTAAATTAGATTAAAAATATATATATTACTAGTTGTTATTTTTAATATAAAAGTGACTTTATTAAAACTTTAACTATAAATTTTTATATTATATAAAAACTTAAGTTTTAAAAAAATTAGTATAATAGAAAAAAAAGTAAATAAAAATAAATTAAGTTTAAATATATATTATATTAAATGTTATAAATTTAATTTAATAATATTGTATATAGATTCAATATATTTGTTATTAAAATAATTAATAAATATTTAAAAAATTACGTTTAACTATTGATTTTATAATAAAATCAAACTAAAAATAATAAAAAATCAAATTTTAATAATTTTTATATTTTGTAATCTGATTTAATAAAATGTTTTAAGACATTTTTTATTATGACTAAAACAGAAATTACTACATATTTTAATTTTTATATTGTTATAATATTTAAATAATATTATGATATTATTAAAATTATTTTATATAATCTGAAATAAAATTTATTTAGTTATTAATAATAATTATTTAAGTCATAAAAAAATTATTTTAAAGTAATATAAAATTGATTTAGAATATTATGTTTTAAATCATTTATTATTTAGAATCAAGCTAACTAAAAAATATAATATAGTTTATTTTTAATAAAAATAGTTTATTAAATATAGTACAAAATAATCTATATTAATTAAAAAAAACTACTACATATTTATATTATGTTATATAAATTATAATCACAATTAGAATAAATAGATTTTTATAATATTAGTTACCATAGTGTGAATAGTAATTCTCTAAAAAAATTATTAATTACAAATATTAATATATTTTATTATTATTATTAATATTAATATTTATAATAACTAATATAGTTATTTGTATTTTTAGTTAATACATTACATATTATTTGTATAAGATAAATATATAACTAGTTATATATACAACATTTGATTATCTATTTAAGTAATCTGCTTGTAGGTTCTATACTAACTACTATACCTATAATTTATTAAAAGATTATTTATTAAATATTTTAATTCTTATACTACATTTAGACAGTAGTTATTTTAGGTTTTATACAACTAAATGCTATTTAATTAATATTTAGTCTTATTTTCTGTATATTAATCAAGTTATTACCCAATTTCAAAATATGTTATCTGATTATAGAACTCATAATGTTTTTTTGTTAACTAATTTATCTATTTTATAAACTATTGATAAGACTTACCTTTGCAAAGTTTCTTCAGATCTTGGTACTTACTTTATAGCAATTTCTAATAGTTTTAGTATGCTTCTATCTTTTTTAACTTTTAATTCTGATAGCCTAATATAACTATAACTAGTTTATTAATATTTTAGATCAGTTTAATATCTTTTTCTTTTAATTTTTTTAGTTATAATTCTGATAGCTCAATTGATAATATTTTTTATACAAATATTCTTGCTTATTTAAATATTTTACAATAGGATCTGTTTTTAGATTTAGTCTTTACAGTAATGCTATTAAAGCTTTGTATTACTTTGCTACTTAGGTCTTTTCAAATATGCTTTTTGTATTTTAATTTTTACAGATTTATATGTCTACAAGAATTTATCTTAAGTTTGCATTACCTGGTACTGGTTTGCACTACCTGGTACTGTTTTGTACTAACTGATACTGGTTTGCACTTTTCTGTATAACTAGTTATACAGGTGTTTTATGACCTGTCAGTTATGCTAATATGACTATAATTACAGGTATCTTAACTTAATTGTTAGAAACAGCTATTATATTATAAGTATTATATAGATAATTGTTCAAATTTTCACTATCAGTAGGTTTTGAACTCACAACCTACCACTTGGAAAGTTAACAACTTATCCACTTTACTAAGTTACTACATCCCTTAATATTAATTTTTTTTATAATATATATATTTAATATTTATAATAATAGAAAAGTTTAGTTTAATTTAATTAACTTTTATATTATAACAATTAGTTTTATAGAATCTTTTAGATATTTTTTTAAATAGTTTTAGTTTTAGACCTAACTAATATGTACTTCTTCAAAACATTAGTTGAAATTATAAAATAGATTTAATAAATTATTTACACATTATAAAAAAGCTTAAAAAAATATAAAATATATAAATAAAACATTAATAATTTAAGAAACAAAAATATTTAGATATAAGATTTATAATAGTATAAATGTTCTAATTGTAATAATATACAAAACCCTTTAAATAAAAAAAAAGAACATTAAAAAAATTCAAACAAACAATCTTCAAATAAAATAGATAGAAACTATTCAGTTTCTAATGATTCTGAAATGCCAAATTATATAAATAAATATTTTATACAATAAATAGTTTGTAATATTGAGTAGCTATACAATATTGTTATATCGAAACCAGAAATATTATTCTACTTGATACTTTTATCTTTTTAAGTAATATTATAGTATTTTAAAATTTAATACACTACTATATACAACTGGAAGTAATCCAACAAGCAATTGTACAGAAAAAAGATAAAAAATTTCAGCGCAAATATTATTGTAGAACAAACAATCGGTAAGCTTATTCTTTCGGTAATGATTAATGCATATCGTCAAAATTTAAATACCGTGTTCATTAAGATGAAATATTATGCTAGGGTTAAGGCAAGTATTGGTGTGAATAATTATTTTAATATGACACAAATATTAATTTGACGCACAAGTATACAGTAACACGAATTTTCCACACACTATTGTAAAGTTTAAATCCCTAAGAATCAACAAAATAAAATTTTTAAAAAATCAACTTAGTTGATATATCAGCTAATATTAAGTCGATTACCATCACTACAAGCTTAAATGTATGTACTATTGTATAAATAAGATACTCATATTTTTATGGCATTTGCGAAATATGTGATAGGTTATGTGTGTTGCCGATCATGTAAAAAATTTCCAAGTTTGAAAATTTTCAAACTTTGAGCGAAAATATCTCAATAACTACTTATTTAAAATCGATAAAAATTTTTTTATTTTAGCTATATGTCATAATAAAATTAAAATTAAAAATTCCTTTCATCAATTTTAGATAGTTATTGAGATATCATCACTCAAAGTTTGGAAAAAACTTAGCAGCAGTCTTTGTTTTGCTAATTGTAAATTTTTTTTGAACTTTGTCTCAGTAGCTGCTTATCTAAACTTTATAAAAAAAAATTAATTTAATTCTATTAATCCATAGAATAAAAAAAATTTTCATAGATATAAACGGGTAGTTATCTAGATATCGTCTCTCAAAGTTCAAAAAAATTTAGGCGACTATCAAAACAAAGACCGCGGCTAAGTTTTCCAAAATTTGAACGATGATATCTCAATAATTACTCATCTAAAATCGACGAATTTTTTTATTTTAATTTATTGATTCATATAATTAAATAACAGAATATGTATTGATTTTAAATAAGTAGTTATTGTGATATTTTCACTCAAAGCTTCATCACAGCTAGGGTATTTCAACAACTGTTGCATGATGTCGCTAACATGCATAACCTAGCACAGATTTCGTAAATGAATGATTCTACAAATTCAAATCTAATGTATTAACGTGAATTTATGAAATTTTGAATATTTGACTAGAATATGAAGTGGGTCATTTACTACTTGTTTTTAACCCATCTTTTCACGGGAAGATGTGATAGATGTTATCTATATGTTTTTACAAGAAATGTCAAAAACAAAATAGTAAATAACACATTTCATACTTTTAAATGCTCAAATTTATAAAGAACCATGAGTTTATATTACTAACTAAAGGGATTTTCAAGCGTCTTGATCAATGAGTCAAAAAATGTCGCTAAAGAAATTTTACTTAGTAGAAAATATTTTAAATATTTAATAATCGTAATCGTAATTTATTACGTAATAAAATATTTTTATTAGTAAAAAATACTTGGTTTGATAAAATTTGAGATCACTCAAATAATTTTATTATAGATCCAAAATCTCAGTATCTACGAATTATCTTATTCCTCATACTAAGGTTTCCGGAAAATAAAAAAATATCAGAAGGTCCAAAAAACAATTACGGACGCTTATCATCTTTTAGCTTTACTCATATGGTAAATTTAACTATTTTGCTGATAATTTCACCAGTTGGTATAATCGAAAATCAATGAAAGTCTAAACTCGGTGGCGATATTTGATAAATAGAAAAATATTAATGAATCGCTCAAGCATAAATTGCAATTTTTATTTTAAGAAAACTTTGATTATATCATAATTTGCATATTCTAATTGTCAATAAAAATTTTATATAAATAATAATTATAGTTGTTCACTATTATGATCACTAGCTAATCACACCGGGGGTTGAGGTTCTAAGAAATTGTTTCTAAGTTTTAAATTGTAAATACTAGATTATATAAGTTTTTTATTGAAAAAAACAAATCAATAGTCATATTTATAGAAAAAATTGTTATTATTAAGCCCTTGAAAAATTAGTCGTTCTTCGTTCTTTTTAAGCAAATCACGAATTCTATGAAAAGTAATGCTATCAATATCATTACCAGAAAGAAATAAGGAAGTTAAATTAGTGTTTTTATGAAGGGCCTCTGCTAAATCTTTTCCTGCTTCGAAGCCAATATGATTTTTGCTAAGATCTAAATAAGTTAAGGTTTTATTGTTATATATTGCCTTTGCGAATGCTTTCCCGCCTTCGGAACCAATTTGATTTTTCGAAACCCTCAGATAAATTAAAATAGAGTTCTTATAAAGTGATGCTGCTATTGCTTTTCCTCCTTCTGGACCAATATTATTGTTTCCAAGATATAAATGGGTTAAAGTAGTATTTTGATAAAGTGCAGCTGCTAACGCTTTTCCTCCATCAACACCAAGCTGATTACCCCAAAGATTCAGATAAGTCAAAGTTATGTTTTTATGAAGTGCATTTGCTAGTGCTTCTCCTCCTTTTGGACCAAGCAGACTTTCCTGAATATCTAAAAGAATCAGTGTAGTATTTTCGCAAAGTGCTGATGCTATTGCTTTACCCACATTTGAATCAATTTGATTACTCCAAATATGCAAATGTGTTAGAGTCTTATTATTGTAAAGTGCTTCTGCTATCGTTCTTCCACCTTCTGGACCAAGGGCATTGCTTGAAAGCGTTAAAGTGGTTAAGTTTGTGCATTTATTAAAAATGGTTGCTAATAAAGTTATTTTTGTACCACAAATTCTTAATTCTCCAAGCGCCTTACTTGTTCGTAAAAGCATTTTAGTTAAAGGGTATTGAACTATTTGGTTTACATTTGAATGTAAATCACAATTAAAATGACCATCGTGTTTAAGCCATTCTGTAATTCCACAGAAAAAATTAATCGTAACGGCTTTAGTAAATGTAGTATATTCAAATAATGGTTTTTGATTGTTTGAAAGTATTATGTTAAATGGTATTAATAATGCCTGTTCTTCTGTGTTTAACATCAATAAGAGTGTTCTCACAAGTTTTCTATTTTTAAATAAGTTTAGTTCGCTCCATAATATTGGTACGGTATTTCTACACCATAGACGGCTTACAAGAAGGCATGAAAATAAACTTTTACGATGACCCTTAAGATGAGTCAAGATTTCAAAAAAGCATTCAACCGGTAATGTTATCATTTTCAATGTATTTACGTATTGCAGATGCTTATATAGAAATTTTTAGGAGTGATTCTATTTGAACATTTTATGTTTACGCCATTGAGCTTGTCACACAAGGATTGTCAAAAGTCAGGTGAAGTCCATTTGATTGGCAAATCAAATAATATTTTTTTTTAGGAAATCTAAAAATCGGAAATGAAGGAATGAAAGTCAAAAACCCAGATTGGTTAGTCATGGCGAAAAAATGTCGCGGTGACATGACGCCGACCACTGCCGACTCTGATAATACAAATTACGGTATTATATTGAAATGATTATTACAGTACTAATCTTTCATGTGTATACTAATAATCATTTCAACATAATACCGTAATTTGTATTATCAAGGTCGGAAGTGGTCGGCGATCACTTCACTGTGGCCATGAATAACCCACCTGTCAAAATCTAGTGAAGCCTAGACCGAGCTATAATTGTCATTCCGGTGTGCAACATATATAAAAAATTTATTTTACAATACAGATCATTCCGCTAGTACGTACATGATTATAATCCAACACCATTTTTATAATAATAAAATGGTGTTGAATTATAGTCATAACATGTACTAGCGGTATTGTAAAATAATTTTTTTATATGTTGCACACCGGTTGAAGGAACAGTTGTGTAACATCGACGTTTCCTCCTGTTGGAAATGACAAGTCATTTCCTTGATTACAAAATGATGTCTTGAATTTTGTGGCTAATAACGTTAGACGCTAATTTTTTGTGTTATATCGTATATTTTAAAAATAGCGATAATTGATGTTTTTTATGAATTGTAAAATTTTCTAATTACAATGTCAATATGACTAATAAATCTAAAGGTACCAGTCAATTTTTTAATAAAAATTCTTGAAATCAATAATTTATTTATTTAAATAATTTATTTACAATAAGAATTGATAAATAATAAATAAAAATAATTTATTAATTCGAAATTTTTAAACCGGTTTTCACTTTCATCTTTTTATATTGTTTATAAATAAGACCATACGGTTCTTCAATTAATTTTTTTCCTACAAAATATTTTATTATGAAATATGACAGTAATTAATTGATAACATACTTATGAATATAAATAATACTTACTAAATAAAAATAGATAAAGGCCAAGCATTAAAGTGTAAACGGCAGAAATAACACCTAAAACATCTATAATTTGTTCGAAAAAAAAATTAAAAAGTACAACTTTTTATTTAAAAAAATGAAGCCGATACTTACAGTACGATCCCTATAATTAATTGTTACAAATAAAATAAAATAAATCATTTAGTGTACGAAACATGTATATGATTTGTATATTAAAAAGCATATAATATAAAAAATTTAAAGCAAAAATGTTAGAACTAAGGTTTGGGTAAAGCATAATTTAAATTTTACGATGAATCTTTTTGTAAAGTAGCAAACATAGTCCACAAGCAACGTTTTAAGTCGCAAGTACCTAATAATCCAATATACAAATAGAAATTGTTTATAAACTATATAAACTAAGAAAAGGCTTACTTTTATTCTTTTTCTAATTCTACCATAATGGACCATGGGTTAACATATAATGCAGCGAAAAAATTTGGATCAGTGTGCCTAGAGATGGGAAAATCGAGGTTTTTTGAAACTACTGCACAGCCTGCATAGCCTACACAATCTCAGTCCCTAGAGACTTTTACTCATTAGGCTTCGCGTTTATATATATAAAACGTCTACTTCATATGTGTAAAGTTGGGCTCCCATCATTTTTAATTAATGCTCCAAGGTTAGTTTAAACGTCAGTTTTTG